CTGAAAAGCGTTTTCTTCTATCCGTCCTATTTATGCATGGATAACTTTTATATTTGAAAAAAAATGACATGATTTTTCGAGGCACCTTGTCAGCAATATGCTCAAGGCCGGATGGTCACCCCTTTCGCACCTAGGCCCCAGCAGCTGTCTTCCTCCATCAGCGAACGCGTGTTCACTCTACTTTCTCTTTTAACACATTCTCTTAAGCAAGCAAAACACCCTCGCAAAGAATAGCTGGACAAAAGGACGTCTCATCAGGCAGGCGGAGCAGAACAACGGAGGACAACAGACAACGGTCTCGCTCGGCACCCACAGAACGGGTCTCTCATGGGGTCACACATCTACCTCCCCCAATAAACCCTCAAGCAAAGTCCCCTTTCATTCACCTGCTCTACGCCCCCAACCTCTTACTTTGGCATCTGGCGGCTAGCGGTGGGCGAACCTCTACATGCCCCACCGCTTACATTGACACGGGTTTGTCATGGGTTGTCATTTTACAGACTTGATTTTTAACGTTACAAGTGTTAGTCTTTAATTCATTTCCCACTTCTCTGGCTAGATGGGTGAGCGATAAAAGAATATTGAAAACTAGAAAAATTCAGAGAGCGCTTATATCCCTCAAGGTAATAGGGTCACTGATGCAATAGAAATATTCACACTTGATGAATTATATTAAACGTATATTTTTCAAATACACAGGTGACGTGGGATAACCTTGGCGGAGACAAGGTTATGAGAAAAAATCCTAGATCCAGATCACTCAAAATTTAATGGAATCTAAGTTAGGTAAAAAAAAAAAAAATTATTCATAACTTTTTGAGTTATCCTGCTAACAAACGAACAAACGAACGAACCAACACGACGAAAAACATAACTTCCTTGGCGTAAAAAAAATGCTCATGAAGAAAATGGGAATCTGTCTTTAAGAAATCTAATTTATAATCCCCATACCCAGTTTACCCCTCGAGATGCCGGTTTTGTGCCTCTTTTATGAATTTTATTGGACAAATTAATATTTTACTGGTCTCCAACAGGTAGGCGTAGGGGAAACGTTCAATCGTAGGGGAAAGGTTCAGGGTTACCATTGTGAGCAAAAACTAAATTTCATTATAAATAAATGATCCAAGATTTTTGATTCCTCATTTTTAGTTATGCCTGTTTCACTCATCTAATCTTGATCTCACTGAATGATGCCGATTTACTTCTTTATAAAGGCTGGATAATTGTCGAAATATCATCGCAGGCGCTTGGTAACAGACTTAAAATCGCCCTGATGGAGACATTAATAAATAGAGACAGAAAGGTAGATAGGCAGAAAGATCTGCATATGTATATAATTCATAGGCCTACATACATAGGCCTAGATATATATAAGCAAAATAAATGTTCTTCAGAGGTATTGTGATGAAGATCATTAACAAAACTTAATCCTTGTGATTTCGGCAGCTTGTAGGAATACCTAGGCAAAAATTCAAATTCAAAATATTTTATTCCATTCGTTACAATGGTCATTCTTATTATTATATACATACATACATACATATACATACATATATATATATATATATATATATATTATATATATATATATATATATATATAATATGGTGTCGCATTTTGGTGGTTAAACGTCTGATCAGCAGAAGTGTAACATTAAAAAGCAAAACTGTATAATATTTACCGATAAGAACCAGTTTTGGAAAAAGTTTGTTTAAAATAGAAAAAAATAGAAAACACGTTCATGGAATGGCATAAATACGTTCATATGACTAATCTGTGACTCATATGATTTTATAATGGGGGCAGCTGGAGTTAATGATGAGTTAAAGATTACTTTTTACACTTAAAAGGAAGAGAAGAAGCAGAAGGAAAACAAGAAGCAGAATCTTAATGACAACTAGGAATTATTAATAAACGGGAGATGATTTTTTAAAAAAATTTCGGGCGTTATAGCAACATGATGACTAACGATGCCAATACGTATTTTTACCACTACGGGATATTGCTCAATTACTCAAGAAACGTATTGCTCGCCAGATTTATGTCAGAGTAAAGCAACTTTTCACATCTGACAGCATAAGAATTTTGGTTTAAAGCTGTGTAATGGTCTCACCCATGATGAATAACACGGACACCAACTGTCAAGTAAGTAATGGCAAAAATAGAGATCAATGCCTACTCCTCGGCAACTTGTATGAAGTGATACTTCTTTTATTGGGGCCACAATACATTGAACTGGCTTGTTATACTTGGTGACATACAAACAGAGTAGCGATGGTGATCATTCAATAATCAGAAATTTGGTAAAGATGAATATTCGTTGCGCAACAGTGTTGTTCACACTTGTTGCATTCTGGTAACTTTTGCCTCGATAAAAAGAGTATGGTACGCTGAAAGAACGTACTTCAGAATGAAAATACATCATTATAATGACTGGCGCTGTTCCTTCGTGTTCTAACAGCTATCAATGTTTGTAGTTTTGATACGATATTCACTTCAT